GGGGGGGGGGGGGGCGTTACCTGGCGAATTGAACAACTTGGACTGCTTGCAAGAATAACTGATCCTCTGCCGGCACCTGGCGGACCGGTTCATCAGGGCTTCTATCTGATCGAGGTCGGCGTCGTAAACGATATCCTGGATGAAACTGCCGGGCTCCTCGAAACCGTCGACCGGCGTCGGATGCTCGTTACCGTGACGCAGTACCGTCCTGATGCGCCCGTCGGCGAAGAATTCACAGACCACCGGGAACGGTTTCAACGGTCCGCTTCCGTCCACGTCGATCTTAATCACCGCCCGTTGGCTGACCGCGTTCGTATTCTTGTACGCCTCGCACGAGAGAGGGCTAAGCGCTACGCGGGGAATCGATCGTCATTTCGAGTCTACTGCTATTTCGGTCGGAGATACACACACAGGCAATCGAACGTTTCACGACCGGTGAGAATCGCCGGTGTATACCTACATGTGTGACAAACAGCGCCTCCGTATCCGGTATTGGTGCAGACGCAGGAGAACTCGTTGGAAGTTTGCTGGCAAATTCCCGAGTGCTTGCAGGGATTCGGGTTGCAACGGTCCACCATTTGACAGGTGTCGAACACAACCTCGTTCTTGCAGCAGTACTCCTCCTCCTTCCAATCGGTCGGCAATTTATAATTGCCGTCGATACTTATCATCCTCATGCAGCCGATGAAGCCGCGATTGCTCAGCTCGTCGGTCATACCGGCGATGTAGTAAAACTGTCCGGTTACCAGTTCCAGGAGCCGATTCGTCTTCATCGGCCTGCCGTCGACGTTCAAAATGAGGGAATTCCTGGCCATCGTCAAGATGACCTGATGCCATTTGCCATCGTTGAATGTCTCGTAAAAGTTGTCTAAATTCACCAGCGGATTGTCCCGCGTTTGCAACTCGACCTTCAACTTGCCCTTCTCCAGGTAGAGCTGCGCAGGAAAAAATCAAGTAAACAATCGCTGCGACTTCTTCTTCACAACGACGCGAGTCTCGAAGACGGATAATAACAGGGAGCTGAACTATCGCTGTCTTTCGCACGTGACGTATTGATTAAAAAAGCATCTAAAGCTCGAGGATTAAGACCGAAAGATCGAAAGTACGGAACCTTGACGAAGCCGGGAGACGTAAACTTGTGGTAAAGAATGATCCCGTTCTCCTCGTAAGTCCGGAAACTGAGGGAGACGTTCAGTGAATATACACCCTCGTATCCTCTCAGCTTGGCGTAGGAGCCTTTAGTTAAGAACGTCACGGGGATTATCGGTGGCTCCGGACAGGCGAAGATCGTGTGGATCCTCTGATATCTCAAATTCTCATCCCCCGCCTCCACCTCCTTCAGCTCGCTGATTATATTCGTACTGTTCAAGTAGAAATTCTCTATACAGCCGGTGAAGTTTTGGTTCACCACCAGACCCTCCTGCATGTTGGGTACACCACCGAAGTAGAACTGAAAGAAAAAGAAAAAGGAGAAAACAAAATAAAAAAAGGATTCTCCGAAACCAGTAAATAGATCTCTACGGAGGAGCAGGCTACATTTAAAATCCTTCGTGTGTGGTAAAACTTTGTGTGGCCGAAAATTTTTTTTCGCCTCTCTCTTTCTTGAGAGAGAGAGAGAACTCCTCACTTACTTCACGATTCAAGTCCAACCGGTGAAATTCTCCCTTTATCCTACCCTTGATCAATACCCTGTCGACGGAGAACGAAATGTTCTTCCTATTACGGGAGATTAAAACATCGTGCCACATATTGTCGTCAAGAAGACTGCCGACGGACAGGCTGGTCATAATACCGGATCCCAGATCGATATTAAGCAGCATTCTGTTGTCGCGCAGTTGCAAGGCTATATAGTCACCTTGCGTACCGCGGGAATACATTAATACGCCGTCGGCGTTATTCGTCTTAAAGCGGAAACGTATAAAATGTCTGTCAGTCTCGATCGGCTCCCTGAGTAAGTCCATGCGTACGAGAGACGACCCGTTAAAGGCAACAACGTCGGACACTGAAATCCACACAAGTTCGACTTAGTCATCTTATAAATGATACATATTTTGTTTTTAACGCACACATCTCATAAGGCGAGAAGAGTGTTTATTATTCATTATTTCCATACCGTATTCGCATCCGTAGAGTTCAACCCTCAGGGATATCCTGTCCCTCCATCGCGTTGGATTTATTCTAACCCACTGTGCGATTATCGGCACCTCGAACTTATTTAGTTTTATCCCGTCGCCGTTTACGTTACCTTTGAACATCTGCGGAAAATCAAGAAACGTTTCGGAAACCGTACTGTCGCCGCGTTTGTCGAATTAATAATTCTCATATATGCTACCTCAGTGATCGATAATTAATAGCGCAACAATCGTGCAGAGTATAGTTAATTCGCATGCATTCCTCGAGTTAAGGCTAATTTTTAACAGTGAAATGTCTAACGAAGACACCGTTAGTACCAAATGATCAATGATTTTGTTATGAACGCAGAAACCAGTCTCCAGATCGGTTTGAAGATCCCGAGTGCGTGAAAGAGACGATCGATTTAACGTGAGTTACACAAGTTCATACAACGTGTATTTCATCAGACAGGCGAAATAATGGTCGATTAATTTCACAGATTTTCAATATAGGTGTGGTATATATATATATGTTATATATATATATATATATATATGTTATCCCAACCACTACCGATTACCCAAGTGTGTGCATTAGTTTAACTAGATTGTTAGCAGTAAAGGAAACGCCAATGTTAAACGCAGATGCATGAATTCCAAGAGCTGCGATGTTCTCGCGATAGACAAAATTCTTGAAAAACAAGGTATTATCCTATAAGCGCGTAATATATTTCTGAAACATGGTTATGTCTACTCCTAATAATATTAAACAAATAATATTATTTAATGTTATTGTAATATCATATATTTCTTAAATATTCAACTCCATGTACATATATAATATATATAATTGGAGTTTTTTTTATTTCAAATATATCGCAATACCAATTGTTTTATTATATAAATAAAGTCGAAATGATTTTGTGCAAAAATACGTTTTATACTAGAAAAATGATACATATATTTTTTTTACTTATATATATTTTTTTCTATATTATTATTTTTTTTTATATTTTCTAAGAACATTTTTATAATGTGCCAAGAATATTGTGTGAAGCGGACATATACAACATCAACAGAACATCCCGAAAATATCAAAAGATATCACGTAACATTCTTAGAATATTATAAGAATATTATCTTCATATTTAATAACATTCATATAATATTTTCGGAATATTACACGCTTATAGGGTAGCCTCCTTTTCATGTGTGCGCGCGCGCGCGCGCGTGTGTGTGTGTGTGTGCGATAAAAAAATAATACAACATAATAATATTAAAATGTATGTATACATTATATAATATTAACATTACATGTACAAATCACCGGTTTTTATAACGAAATAAAGGTTTACGGAGAAAAGGAAGCGAAAGAATACAGTTCGATTATTCGTCTCGACGGGGAAGCGAACGTTAAAGACACATTCGTGGCCGGCGGGGCAGGCGCGTTTCCGCGCTCGCTCGTGATTCGCCCATTTTACCAGCGACGGCTTCTCCTTCGTGTATTGACGCCGCGCAGAATCTCCGTCGCGTACGCCTACCAACGCCGCCGCTCGGCCGTAGCGGCACAGGTTAGGTCGGTCGGCGAAGGTTAGGTGCGCGACTCGTATCAGTCTTCATCGACGTGTCAAACGCGAGCGAAGGCAAATGGCGGCCGCTCGAGGTGAAAACGACGACATTCCCGCGCTCGAGGAGGAGCTCGAGAAGCTGAACCTGGCCTGCGCGACGACGGAGGACGATGCGCCGACGGAGGACAAGGTCGACGATGACGCGGTCGACTTCGGGAAAACCGGCGAGCCGCAGCTCTGGGGCTTCGAGACGCGTGAGCTTTACAAGCTCGCGCTCGGTTTCTACAAAGAGAAGAAGGGTAAGGCCGTGCACATCTCCTACGAGGACAAGCTGAAACTGGTGGCGTTCATTCAGCAAGTGACGCACGGCAAGTGCACCGCGGAGAACGCACCGCCGCTGGGCGTCCTCGACGTAATCGGCAAGGACAGACGCCTCGCCTGGCAGAATCTGGGTGATATTACCAAGGAACAGGCGATGGAGGGCTTCATAGTCCTGTTGGATAAGCTGTGTCCCCTGTTTAGAACGGTGGCTGAGGCGCAGAAGAGGGACTTCGAGGAGAAGGAACGACTGAAGAAGGAGGAGGAGGCGAGGAAGCTCGAGGAGGAGAGGAAGCTGAAGGAGCTCGAGGAGGAGCGGAAGAAGCGGGAGGAGGAGAGGCTGAAGGAGGAGACGCAGAGGCGGCAGATCCAGGATGCCCTGAATCAGCAGACGTACCACCAGTTCAAGATGTACGCCGAACAACAGTACCCCGGCAATCCGGAGCAGCAGGGCGTCCTGATCAGGCAGCTGCAGGAGCAACACTACCATCAGTACATGCAGCAGCTGCATCAGAACCAGCTGGACCAGAGCGAGGAAGAGGAAGAGAAGAAGAAGAAAAAGAAGAAGAACAGCGACGGTAACATCGAGGAGGAGACGAGCCTGTCGAAGGACGACGATAACAACAAGGACGCATCCAACACGAATGACGAGGACTCCGACGACCTGGAGGACTGGCCTCCCATCACCCCGGCGGAGATGTGGACGAGGAAGGGTGTGGAGGAGTTCAAGCGGACGATCTGGCGGGAGGCGCCCGACGCGGTGATCAGGGTGGGACATGGCGAGACGGTGACCGTCCGCGTGCCCACGCACGAGGACGGCACGTGCCTCTTCTGGGAATTCGTCACGGACTCCTACGACATCGGCTTCGGCGTATACTTCGAGTGGTCGAAGCCGGACACGAATCAGGTATCTGTGCACATAAGCGAGTCCGAGGACGAGGACGACGAGGACGAGGAGTACGAGCCGAGGAACGACCTCGAGAGCGGACCGATGAACAACAACGCCCGGCCGGAGCGGCGAACCACGACGCCGCCCATCAGCGTAATCGTGCCCGTCTACAGAAGGGACTCGCAGGACGAGATCTACGGCGGTAGCCACCAGTACCCGGGCGAGGGGGTGTACCTTCTGAAATTCGACAACTCTTATTCGCTCTGGCGGAGCAAAAGACTCTATTACCGAGTGTACTACACGCGGCAAGGCCAAGGCTTCACGAACAATAACAACAATTAATCAACCTCGTCAAGCCGTCCGTCCATCGCGACGAGAGGACGACGCGTGATGAACGACGAACGAGACGTATGTCCGTTGAGCACTAGCCTTCACACTATAAATGTACTAATAACTGTACTAATAATGCTAGTCCAACTGAATATGAGTCTGATGTGTCGATTCGGTCCGTGTAGAAGTGTAACACACACACACACACACACACACAAAAGAGATATATTTATTGTTTAGTTGTAAGTGACGACACACACACACACACACACAAAAGTTCTGCTCGTTTTCAGTGGCAAAACCGAGTGCATGCGTAAGAAGGAAAAGAAAAAAAGCTCGAACCGAGATTTCTTTTATATATATATACACACACGTGGCACACATGTATAATTTACGTAACCCGGATTTAATTCATCTATTCATCGCGTAATATCGCGTACCCGCGGCTCTCACGCGCGAATCACGCGCACATTTATTGTTCTGTCGCGTAGACGGGGCGCAACTTCGAGAACTTCAGAGCGTTCGTATCGACGGTAATGTGAATCTTTACACATGTGTACGTGCGAAAAGATGTCCCGTATCGAACGGAGATGTTAAGTGTACATATATGTGCAACACGCCTGTATGTCTGTCTATAATCTGCATTTGTTTAATCCTCGTATATTCGTTCAGTATCCCCTGTATTCACCTGTATTCGTTTGAGATAGTCTCTTTTTCGTGCGACTCAATGTTTTATACATATATATATATATACATATATATATGTTGTAGTTCTCTTATTAAGGATATATTACGTATTTCGTTCAAATTTGAGGAAATACAGCAGCGGAGGCGATGACGCGCGCGCGTGAGAAAGAAAGAGAAAGAAGGAATAAAAAGAAAGACACACACGGCGAATTTGACGAAAAGAGTATCGTGTCTTTTTGCAAATCCCGCGAACGTTGGTATCATCGATCCTCTCGGTAACGAATATTGCAGTCTTTAACGTTTACTTTGTCACATGCGACCCAGAAAAACGCGCGCTCCTGCTTGCGATATTCAATTGGATTCTCGAATTTCGGTAGCGATTGTTAGAACAGAAGATTCCAAACACAGTATATCTCTCTGTCGGAACGGGGTGTACGGGGTTTTTTACGGGCAGGACGTTTCATTCATTCACGGGATTTCTACGGGAGAAAAATTTTGTAATACGCTTGTTATCGATGTAGAATACAAAGAGCGGAGGAAGAGTGACTACAGAATGTTAAATCTATTATCGCGCATTCGCCTATAAATATTGCACCATACATACACCTGTCCAGACCAGTTTCCGGATGTACGAACAAAAATGTGTTTCAACCTGATATTAAATGTAACAACAACAACAATAATAATGAGATTTATGTTTCAAGTGTGTCTGTATAAATATTAATAACCCGTCTCTATGATTCTTTCCTTTTTATGAATGACGAGAGTTGAGAAAGTGTGTGTACATGCGTTTCTTTACTACACTCTTAAGATTATATCACCCAGGATAAGCTGATATAAATCTGACAGCAACCTCAATAAAACGAAATATCTATATCTTATCCGTATCTTTATGTAACATCTTACGCTCATGTACTCTATACCGTTATGTACCTTAGTATGTAGGAAGGAGGAAAGCTTCAGTTGTTCTACTGTGAAAATTTCAAGATAGAAGGGGGAGAAAAAAATGCTATCAAACACAAAATCTTTCTCGATCAACCATAAGTCCTGGTATCTGCAATGGATGCTTTAAGCTTTGTGTCTTGAGAAATTGACCGATCACAGTCGAACGTGACGAGAATAATTAACTGTGATTGGTCAATTCCTTAAAACTTAAGATACCTATTGTAGGGCCGGGACTTAAATTCGCGAACCTTTAGACACTATACTCTTAGATACGTGGATGGAACAAATTTAAGGCTCCATCCTTGAATTTCAATACCTCATCTACGCCATCCTGGCTTTCATAACTGGCCCAAGCTTGACCATCATCGGAATATTGGATAATATATTCTGTCACGTATTCATTAGTATGCGCCCGCCCTTGCGTAGCAATGCTGCGTATCTCACATCTGTCCCCCAGCTCCATAGTAAGATGTTGATCGTAACTGCTAAGTTCGGGCGACCACGTGGAATCTCCTGTAAAGCCCAGGCTCCATGTCCATGTATAAGAGGAGAGTAGTAGAAGCGAAGCAAGCACAAACGGACACACAGGAAATAGAAATAGTTAAAAGAAATCACGAGGATTTTCTTTATTTCATATGCATATATATATGTATCACTAGAATGGAAAACCTCGTTGCGTAGTTAATTCCAAAAGTGACTCTCACACCCAATAATCGTACAAATTTCGACATGATCTGCTTAGCATTCGTGCGAGCGTACGTGAGTACATGTTGACGTGACATTAGAGAAATTAATGAAACACACAGAAACGAAATGAGTGTTGAAAAACAAATATAGATAGTAGTGATCGATGCGAAGCCCTATTCAGATGTAAGTTGTAAAGCGCGTTGAAGTACTTACCAGTAGTTCAAAAGCTCCGGACAATACTGCCCTTATAACATCAAATATTATGAAGTATTTAACAAACGACTTCTTTCTCTATATTTACAGAAATTATCACATGCACCAAGCAAGCCTCTCTCGTATTATCGGGAAATATCGCTGCGTGTTAATTAATTAATCAAGCGTGTCGTGTCTCACCATTGTATTAAAAGCAGGATGATGACTAGAACCAGCGGAGTTCCCAAACGAGCTTACCTTCGTATGGCCATCCTCTTCCTTGTAATTCTGGTAATCAAGACCGTTGGTACCGTAACTGATACGATATTCCATAACATATTCCTTCTGCAACAATCGTCCCTGAGTGGCCACGGCCGTGATGTTCATTATTTGGCCCAGGTCGATTATTAAATACTGACCGAAATCTGAGCTGCTAGCCGTCCATGCGTTTCCGCCTACACCACAACATGTATGCATGCACGCAACTCAAAAGTAAACTTACGAAAAACGTTTATACAAACAATATGAGACAGAAAACGTAACGACGTAATCAGAGAGAATCGTTTCTAGCAGCGCCTTGTTTTTTTTTATACTCAGAGATTAACTTGTATGGGTGTACCAAAACTACATAATGCCGTAAAGTAGATCATTTAAAAGGTAACGTATGCCGTAATATACATTTTTCAAGTGAAACGCAGAAAGAGTACCTCTTGGAAATTTTTCTGAAATTGTGTAACAATTTTCGAAAAAGAGATGGTTTTTTTTTTTCATACTATTCGTCGAGATAACATTAACGTTATCATTCGAATTATTGCGATTGGCGCAGTTGGGTTTTACTTTTTTTTGTTTACGTGAATTTTACGTCAAATTTGCGCCATCGTAATTCTAATTCGTGATATTTTTATCCCTTCTTGCCTCTTTACAGAATTTAATTATACTATGACTTTTGCACACGAAAAGTTATGCAGCTTACAAAAAGGTAAGTAAAGAAATTATTGAAAGGTGGTGCTTAGTGCTTTATTAATTGGCAGCTGAACTCATATATGTACAATGTGCAATATCCATCTCTTAATATAAACGTAGCAAGAAACATTCCGTCATGCGTGGTTGCGATCTTATTGTACAAGTAATCGAAGGAGGCTTTTATCATGGCTTTTCTGGTTTAGCGAAATATTCAGTCGTGTACCGTGAATCCGTCGGAAAGAGTGGAACGGAGTGCGTCATGAGTCGATCGTAATCTATGATCTCAAAACACGTGGTGTTACGGGACAGTGATTTGTCGTCCCGCGGCAACGCTACGGCGACACAGTGCCGCGAGTCGAGCAAAGTTTCTTCGAACAGCCAATTTTCCTCAACACCGTCGACATACAGCATCGTATCGGTCGTGACCGAGTCGGCACGCAACTCCGAATTAGTCCGAAAGTCAATGTTCCTCAGATCAACGACGATTCCCACACCGAGCGCTTTCACATAGCTCTCCTTCAACGCCCAGTGCCTGCAGAACATAGATATCTGTTCCGCTTCGGACTTCCCCGGAACGGAGCCTCTGATCTCCAGCCACTCGGCCGCCGAGAAGTTTCTGTTCATGATGCGGAAAAATTCGGAGATACTTTTGCCGCCGCTGTACCCGAACTTCATCACGTCCACGCCTAACTTAACGTCTCGAACTTCACCGGCTAAGACCGTGTAAGAGCCCTGATGGGAAACGTTAAAGCTTAACGCAACAGCGGCGTTATCTCTCAATGCAGGCTTGTTGTGCTCGTCTCTGGTGAAAGTGATTCCGTCATACGGAAGACCGGCGTACTCATTGACGAATTTTCTCATCAACAATCTGCCGGCGAGGGAGGCCCTCGTATCTTTACGAAATACAAATCTCCCCAGTCTGGCCTTCTCCTCGCTCTGCACGCACGAAATCGCACGCTCAAACTCCTCCCGATTCGGATTCCACTCTTTCCAATTGAATGCCCAACGAACGGCTGACGACATTTTAACAATGTTCACACATCTAAGCTCAAGCATTCGCCTTATTTAATCACAGTCTTTGTATATCCCTTCGGCTGCGGATCTGGGATTGCAGTCGGTACACCCTTAAGTTATCTCTGATTATAAAAATAATGTCTTTCAAGATATCTCGTTTAAGATATTCTCCAGGCTACTTGCTAGGATCCACCTAAAGCAAATATATCAACTTATTACGCCATACTTTTCTTTTAACAAAAAAAAAAACAAATAAAATAAAAATGAACAATCTTTATCTCTAAGATAGATAGAATTCTGCTCATAAAGTATTACATAATAAAGATGAAGACAGATAAGATGAAGTGATTGGATGATGAGTCACAGAGAGGCCTCTGTGTGTAAGCCCTCATTTAATTCTCATGATTGAGCACAACTACCGTGCTCATTATAGCTTGTAATGGCCGTTAATGTTAATTTAATTTCTCCAATTTTCACTGAAATTCCTCATCATGTATATCGGAAGATACTGAGTGAGAAAGTAGTATCAACAGAATTTTTCGTAACTATCGTCGATGCAAAGAGAAGCAAGTATAGTGCGCAATATAAACAACGACAGATTCTGTAGGGATAATAGAGCAAGCAACAAACTACTATCAGTATAATAATAACCATATCTTACATACAAAGTAGAAAATTGTACAATAGACTCTTGTCTGATGAATGTTGAGAGACGCCTGTGGATACTGAGATATTCAAACATTTTCTCTTACCGTTTAGCCTGGCATTCTTTGCGCCTCTCTCAGGCAAAGAGGTAGTAGCTGTTATATGAGCTCTGTCCAATAGAGGAATGCTGCATTCGTCGTCATCTGCGGGACACAGTATTGTAATGTTATTAAAATATACTTTATTATCTTTTTTTTCTATTTCAAAAAAGACCGCAGAATATTTGCTTTACTTAGTCGAACATAAGCTTGTGGAAAGCCGAGAAAGTTATTGAATTACCCGATTAGTGCGATAAAAGCATACACAGAATTGATTACGATCATTGAATCTAGATAACTGTGATAAAGCGAAATATATCGGACGTAAGGAACGCGTGTAACTTTCAGTGAGTCAGACTCCGCAGTAAACATACACACTTCTCGCACGGCTGTTTCATTTTCTTTTCAGCTGAACTGGCCGCACCGGTTCAAGAAATGTACACACACACATCGAAACGTACGAGGCGTACGAGATTCTTACGTTTCTCAGTGTGCGTAAATTTCTCGAACTACCGCAGCCAGTTCGGTCGAAAAGAACAGACCGTACGTCGACACCCCAGACACCAAACCTAAAACTGGGTCGTAAGACGTCTTTGAGACGTCTTAAAGTCGTCTTTGAGTAAGAAGTCTCTAAGACGTTTTATGACCTAGTTTTAGGCTGCCTGGGACAATTGTGTGTAAAATCGCGTTGACGCTCTTTGCACGTGCATAACCATGTACGAAAGAGCGAACACGTTAAATAACAACAACGGGCGCATGGGCAAACGCAGCGACTCGCGCAATTACAAAACATTGTAGTACCAAAGTGTTGCAAAACAAAGCGCGGCCAACAGGTTTTCGGCACGAAGGTAGA